ATTAAATTTTGTGCCTGTCGTTAGCAAATATAGCAGCAGGTATAAATGTTTTTACTTCAACTGCAGTTTTCGCGTCTTTCGGAGGCTCGCTTCTAGTCACAACCGCGTTAAAGCCATTATGATCATCCGCTGTATAAGAAACAGTACGAATAGTTCCATCGGCTTCGACTACCGAATATTCTCCTTTAACTGTATCTCCATCTCGTTCTTCCCATGCTGATTTAGAGTCACCAGTATATCCGTCGATCACACCATAATTAAAGGAATATTTGGGATCTGCCTAAGACAAAAATAAAATGATAAAAATAAAATTTAGAAAAATTTCCAAATATAAATATATAGAACATAGAGCATTCTCTCTTTTTATTCCGAATTGTTCGATAATCGGTTTCGATAAAGTGTTTTGCGATTTTCAATAATATAGTTGGGCGATTGCAACAAAATTTGAACATTTACCATATATCGAACATCTTTTTCCAATATTTTTGGTTCTGTAGCTACGATAGCTGATGCAGATTTGACGATGGGTGGTGCAATATATATCAAAGAAGACGTTCTCGGTAAAGATTTGTAGAATAAAGGTGCCGACACTTTAACATAGGTAAGTAACGATACGTCACTCGTTGGTGTAGGCTCGCTATCACTCTTGCTATCTATCAATGTTGCTGGTTTCAATGTACACGCGATCGCCGGTCCGAGAGTAGTTGACGACCCTGAATCGAGAGGTGCGCACGAGAAGGCATGTCTCGAGTTTCCAAATGATCCAGAAGGATATCTATCGTGAGAGACTATTTTAGACTTTTATAACTCTTTGTGTCCCTTTTTGCCCTCTTCTGTCAGCTTGTAAATTCAGCCTGTATATATCCCAACAACCGGAAATAGATTAAAATGAATTGAAAATTTCTAATCTATTTTAATTTTAATACAGTTTAGATTGAAAGAATAGGAATCCCATAGTTTTAATCCCGTTTCATATATTAAAATGGATTGATGTGACCTGCGTAATTTTTTTTTTGAATCAACAGTATAGAAATCTTATATTATTTCAATTACCCTTCATGGATTAAAATAGATTCAAAGAATTTTTAAACTTTAATCAATTTGAAATGGATTCAAAAAAATCAAGAATTTGAATTCGACAATGACCACACGAATTCATTTCAATCCATTTCCATTTACTGAGATATTTTTGTATATCCATCATGCTCTAATAAACTTTTACAAAAAGGCATCGTATACATATACTCACTTACGAAGAAGATTTGCTCGACCGAAACTGATCAAAGCGCAGAGAAGAAATATCTAGAAACGAGAAGATATTCTATAATAATTTTTCACAGATATTAACAAATTATATGTCGCGACACGCTCGCAAGAGAGGAAGGAATCGAGTATAAGCATCACTTTATAAGATACCACTTGACATGTAGCATGCGTGAGGCATAAATATATGTGGCAATATGTATGTGTAAAATTACATAATATAGAAACAATCGAAACATAGTTGAACTATGTTAGTAGTTAATAGATTTGAAGCGGTAAGAGGCGGGAATCGGGAGAATCAAATTTACTATTCTTTTCTCTATTGAAGAAAGCATCCAACGTTAATAACGAAACTGTCCGATCCGTGTATGAGTATTATCATTTGCGCGATTCTTTCTCAATTATAAATTCGCACATTTATACAATCTATTCTTTTGATTGTTTCATATTAAAAATATAAAATTAAAATAATAAAATATAATATAAATATAATATAATATAAAATTAAAAATATAAAAATTTTGTATCTGTATATGCATCTATGGATTTGTAAGGAGATGGAGGTGAGGCCGTAATCTCTGAGAATCGAGGAATACGAGGAAGCAGAACGAAACGACAATCGCGTCATTAATTCATTCTGTTACGATGTGCATCTACTCATTGTAATTATGTTACATCTAATTACTTGAAATGCTATCTCAACAACAATCAACTTGAGATGATTTTATGATGCAGTTTCTTTACGCGGAGGTCTAAATCATCTCACGAATTAAGCAAATCTGATAATTAATTTTATTCAACTTGCGACACGCTGATCGTTATAAT